GACGACTCACGCCTGATTTGTGCACCAGGCTCAGTTGTGCTCCGTACAACAACCATCTGCATATTTCTGCTCAGAGAATCGTTCAGCAGATATGGAAAGCAGATTTGGAATCAGCGTCCGAAGACGCATCAGTGAGTACACATCTTGTCTTAAATGGCCACTTCGACCAACCATCCTTTCCTTGTCAGGACCGCGCCAGTGTTAAGCGCGGTACTTGTCACTACACCACTTCCGCCTCTTCAGCTGGAAATATACGTAAAAATGGAGTTCGTAGCGCTAGAGGGCAGGGGTGTCAATGAACTCCTTGTGTAAGACTGGGTCCTCCTCAACAGAGAAACGCGAAGAGAGAAGGTGCTCCTGGGCAGGTGAGCAAACTTCAAGTTTAGTAATTCGATATCAAGGTGATCCCATTCGCAACAGAACTCCTTGGAATGCCTCACTCTCAAAGGTTATCGACACGGAGTAACTAGTTAACACGCGGAATGGTCGAATGAAGAGTGACCCTCGAATAGTTCGAGATGTTAAGATAGGTGCATAAGTAGCAATCAGGTGACTTCGTGGAAGAGTGGTCGTAGACTTTCTAAAAGCAAAACATTTGCAAGATTAAAAACTCCGACAGAACATATTTTGTGGGGTGCTCGCCTCGCTCCCACTGGAAAATCAATCCAAACGACCGAGCAATGACCATTTTTTATGAATTATTCTGTTAATTGAACTGATTCTTCTTTGAGGGCTGTGAATGGCAACATTTCTCGATATTTGGCATATGTCATTATGACGTAAAGGGAGCTGCAAACTTGTCATGTCAGTCGGGCTCATTTTTGGAACCCATATCGATCACTGGAACATTCGAGGAGACACATGTTAGACGCAAGTCGTTCTTATACAAATCAGAGAACTTATAAATCAAAAGTCATCCTGCTCTCCAAGTCGATGTCACTTTGATTGGCATCGATAGAGAAGGAAGAATCAATAGGACAACATAAACGAAATCAATAGGGGAGCAGAAACAAAAATGCCACGTTATAGTCTGGAACCATGAAACGAATACGAAACTGGCTGTGATGCCGTCTAAATTACTCAGTCGATCATCCGAAATCGGTTCAGAATGATGGCCTGGAAGCCTGAAGATGAACATGGTTGCTTCAACGGCGGGACCCACGAAGAGCTTTAAGGAACAGTGCATGTTCCACAATATCCTGGCCAAACTGTTCAAGTCCTTTGCTGTATGAGCTCGCCGATTTGCTTCTTGCTACCTACTGTTCAAGATTATGGAGACGGCACAAATCTGTACTCTCGCCCACAGAACCGTTACCGTTCACTTTTGAACGAGGAAGTGGCACGCTGCTGCAGCTGTCCACACGTTTTCCCCACTCATGGCAAGGACCTGTGCCCACGTAGTTTGTCTCCAATAGCGTCGGCTCGAAGGTGGAAAGAAGAGAGAAAGAAAGAATTCGGCTTTTACTGGATACAGCATTTATCGCGCCTCCATTCTCTATTCGATGAATCACAGGTGGAATATAGCAAGGTAGTGATAGAAAAATCGGTGAAGTTGGACTGCTGATTTGAACGGATTGTTTCTGAGGTGCCTGGGTGGCCGGCAGGATCGAACATCACGTTGCGGACAATCGCACAGAAGGTGTAACCTCTTCCAGAAGTGTCCATGCCCCTCCCCCCACCTCCCTACTTACATAGTGTCGATAACTGACCAGTATCTGTCGTTGCGTCGCGTGCTATCAGAAAGGGGAGATGGGAGCCCGGCACGGCCCGCTGGACTTCTACTGAGATTCGGTTTTTTCAAGGAATAACATCCCTCGCAGATGATCTTTTGTTGAGCAGCAAGCAGGACTCGTGCTTTCTAGGATGGGTCTATACGAAGTACACCAGAGTTATCACTAAGTTTACGTGGCACTTTCACATCCGAAATAACGAGGGAGATTCTGGTGAACGCAAGTTTCCACCTTATCAGTTGGCACAACCTTGCCTTTTCCATAGTGTTCACTATGAAACGCAGGGCACATCATTGGTTGGGATTCCGGTCGAGTCCGTACGACCCCCCCCCCCTAAAATGCGGATCGATACGACCCCCCCCCCTTCTAAGGTTCTTTTCTTCCATCACCTACGTGGAAGAAAACAAGTGCCAAGCTAAAAATTCTCCCCGTCTTCTGAGCACCTTCCAGCCCTGAACACCACTGAGCCGACGAATTTTCTGTACTAGTTAATTTCCGATCATTCTGTAGGTCTACAAAACAGGAACCCAGCAGAATTGCTGACTCTATTTGCAGAAATTCAGTTTAGATGAGCTCCAGTGTTCTAATACATGTGTTACTTGAATAATTTTTCGAATTTCCATCTGTTTAAAGTCGAGCTTTATGGTTTCAGATGGAAAACCATAAAGCCCTACTATAAACAGGTGGAAATTAAAAAATTATAAAGTTTTTCACTATTTTCTACCACGGCGTGTAAAAGCAGTTGGCACGATAAATCCCCCAAGACGACTAGGATCAATACGCCTGGCGGGACGAAATCCCGCGACCCTAAGCAGGCGCTGTATAGCGGCTCTTCTGGGATGGTGCCCTTATAAGGGTCCTATCAAGCCAAACATTACGACCCTAACGCCCGCCACGCCCGCCCTCCCACAAATGGACGACCGTTCCTGACGCTCGCATTCATTCATTTGCCAAGCAAATGATGAAGCGAAGGGATTGGTATGAAGCGGCCGTGATGCTGCATGGATATATGAGTACAAATATGCAGCCGTATCTTCGGTAGCGGTGATTGGTAGGATGCCTACGGGAAACTCGTCCGAAATCGATTAATAAGTCACTGAGAACGGAGGCTTTTTCTTCGCAGCATTTTGACCGTTTCACCCCGTTCTTTCGCCATTTCCCAACTATATGGCGCGCTACTAGCATTTTAGGCCGTGTAGGAAACCATCGTGCCGACTGCCTTTAAGTGAGCGAGTTAGGGATCCTCACCCTCTCCCAAAACTCCCAGTAAAGAGAATCGCTCTGCTGATCTACACCGCACAGGATGCTGTGCTCTTGTCAAAGAGGGAAAGGAGCACGGGGCGACCGGGATCCCAAAGAGAGGAAGTCATGGTGAACCCCCTGCCCTCTATGTGCCGATATGACCAAGATTACGGTAATCCCCTTGTCGATGGGTAGCGAGACAGATCAAAGGTACTGATATTTGCCCTAGGCGATGGAGAAGACCCGCCAATTTCTCCCAGGCTAACTAGAGGACCTATAAAAGAAAGGCCGAGGGTCCAGGAGTCGTCCTGCAGTTTTTTGAGGTTTTTTAGTTTGATCTCGCGCTCTGCCTCTGTCTCTCTTACCCAGGGATCTCGCCTGGGTTTACCTCCTGCTCCTGCCCCGCTCCAGCTCAAGAAGCTGGATTGATCTCTTCTGTATCATCTAGGCGAGATTGTAAACTCATTATTGTCTGTCGTTTTTGTTCCTAATAAATTTGTTTTGTTCTTCGTGGTGTCCATTCGCAGAAGTCGAACACATCTGGGACTATCCCAGGTTGTACACTCTAACCTACAGACAGTTGTGTTCAAATTCTGGCAGCCATGCTTGAATACCAATACGCATGCCGCGTCCGCGCTTTGATCGCGTTGGGGCGCGTTTTTTAGGCACCCTCAATCAAACCATCCTATCTTTGAAGGAGTATAACTTTCTGCAATGCAGACAGTTAGGGAAATTGAAAACGCATTCGTGCTAAAAAAGATTCGAGCTTCCCGAAAAGTATTGAAATGTTTATAAGGTTGCCAAGAGAAATTCAGCGTTGGGGATGAGTTGAGGATTTTCAAAATTCGTGCAAAAAGACGAAGACTGTCTTGGTTCAAACGAATATAATCTTCTGAAACCTTAATTGTTAGCAAATCTGGACCCAGCGTCAAATACTAGAGGATTCCTTCTTGCCACTACACTTCACTTGTTTCTGAAGTTTTCAGGATTCATGAAAAAAAACGCGTTGGGGACTTTCTGAGGAACACTCCGAGCTGCTCGAAAAATCCATTTTCTGCTTACCGTTTCAAGACAGCGTACTCGGATATCCATAAATGCATCTGGAATTCATCCCTTCGTGGAATAGGAGCAAACAGTAGGTGAAACGCCCATTAGCTTCATTTGTGGATGCGCCATGCTTAGGCTTCCACGCAGAGGTAGTGGGATGGTGCAAGTTCCACGCAATGCCTGTCTACACGAGCAGATGTGTTTACAGGATTCAGGGAGTTCCATGGCCAATTGCGCACTTGTTTACAGTGTTGTCCGTTGCGGATGATGGGGCGTGTCCGTGTCCGACGGCGTCAGATCCATGCTCCACCACTTGCTAAGTCCGACCAAAGATACCTGGAAAACGTCTAAAGTGATGTGGTAGTTTTGTCTTCTCGGAGGAAAAAAAACAGGTTGGCTCCGCGCCAAGCGCGGTCGCTCGGACACGCCTCATCATCCGCAGCGAACCAGGGCATGGGTTGTACTATTTACCTCTATACTCACTTACGAGATGATGTCAACTTACTAGTATTTCCATTTAATTCCTGATTAGCTAAATCAAAAAAAAGTTTTGTACTGTTTTTTTTACCTATCCGGATTCTCTACAAAGCAAGTTTCGCTACCCAGGACTCAGCATACTGACACCTTTGCGCTGCTCGTTACTGGCTACCGCCCTCATTACGCCCCCCCCCCTCTCCCAGCGGCCAATTATGTCCTCGTTTGTTGTCGTTTGTGTTCCTAATAAATTTGTTTTGTTCTTCGTGTGTGTTCATTCGAAGAAGTCGAACACACTTGGGACTATCCCAGGTTGTACATGGGGGCCGAACTAATTGGCCTTATAAGCGACTACTTCGACTGAGCACCAAGCGATCTACTACTGGTGGTCCGTTGTTATTACTACCAACCTCGTTAGTCACCGCGAAGGGTGCCAAGAGGTTCAAGCCAGGAAGAGTTTGAAAGAAGGAAAGAACACTTGGTTAGGCGAGAGATATCGCAGAATTGATGGTTGTGTTGAGGAAACAACCGAGTTCGAGGACACCCAGCATGAACCGTCAAGAGGCTGAGGACGTGCTGATGAAGAACGAGGAGCACGAAACGCCTCAAGAGGTGAGCAATTTGCAAGAATTTGGAGGTATGCAAGGGGAGGAGTGGTCCAAGTTTGTACGAGTGGTGCAGGAAGCGAAAGAAGGGGCGGTGTCAGTACTGAGTAACGCAAAGTTGACCAAGCAAATTAGGACAGATCTAGAAGAAGGATGGGATCAAGTGAAGGAGGCAGTAAGACCTAAAAAGGAGGGTACTCTGTGACTCCATGGTGCCTGAGGGGCTAATGAGAGAGATCATAGCTACCCTCGCAAAAAGGGAATTGAATCAGTACAGGAGTGGAGAGAGTACGTGAGAACTGTAGAAAAGGATGGAAAACTGATTAACGAGTCATGCGAGCTCTTAGGAACCGACGTTTTCCAGCTGAAAAGGACAGTCGAGTCGAGATGCGGCAAGGCCACCAATGTGGATGAGCAGGCACAACTGCCGGGTAGGTACATTAAAGGCAGTTCCCGCGACCACACTTCATAGGTAATACAGTTCAGAAATAGATTGCCCTGTGGTTGTTGACTTATTGAAGGGAAGGAACCACGAAAAAAGCGCCCGGAATAAGACCCTCTTCATTTCAATTGATCATGATCATCGGACGAGAGTAAGGTGGTCAAGATCGATTGTGGATGGCAAAAGGCGGCGAGACACTGATAAGAGACGAGAGAGGCCAGAAAACGACGAGCGAGAGAGCACGATGGCAATGCCACAACGAAACGATCACCGGAGGCTGGCATGGGCCTATCGGGCGCCAATGGGCCGAAAAGCTGAGAGCGCCGCGTTTTGCTTGCTGTTTCTCAACTTTTGTAAGCAGCATAGCCTCTGACGTTGCCTGTTTGACCGTCGGGCACGGCTATGAGAACCTAGCCCTAGTTTATCGCGGAACGTGCCTTTAAGCAGGATGATACTACACAAACAGTAGATATGGCACGGCAAAACATTGTGTTACAGGAGAGGCCTTATTCAACTGGTCGGAAATCTGTACACAATTGGTAGACACTTGGAAGGAATCCACTATCGACGGATCCTGCTCACGAGGACGCAGGTACTGCAAACCTTCACTTCCTATACTACCTAAGGGCCATGACATGTGCTGACCAGGCGGTATTCAAAGGGAGCAAAGATGAAAATTTCTCGGAGTTTCCAAGGAAGTTAGAAGGAAGTATGAGGCAGTAATCTCAAGCGAGGAAACGCTGGTCGAGATACTGGCAGATGACCATTTGGCCGGGCGGGCTAAAAATGTTTTCATGTTTCTTCCGCGCTCAGTAAAGGACGAGAGGGTTTGAGGTAGTCAAGAACTGGCTAAGCTGCTAGCGTGCGATTCTACTGCAAGCAGGATGAGGGCGCTGACCGAGTTGAAGAATCTGAGGATGACACCTAGTCAAGAGGTGGCAGTGTTCTGTGTGGTCCTAAAGAAAATAGACAAGCAAGCAAACCCAGAATGCACATTACACACAGGACAGAACGATGGAATACGCCCAGATCCTTCTGGAAAATTTGAGTGCATGGCCGGAGCACTTCCAATTAGTCGGAGCGCTTCACAGGGTTGGGCCTAGTAAGGCGTATGAGGAAAAAAGCAGTTAGCAATAAATATGAAACAATCAAGGTGAATGCTGGGAGCAAATAAAAGTAGTTCACTTACCTGGAAAAATAGGTACAGACAGTACCAAGATAAGGAAGAGCGGAGAATACGGGAACCTTAAGAAGGTTCATCACCAAATGCGGAAGGTCGGGAACCTGCGAAAGATATGCCACAAAAGGCAGGACCACTTCGACGCAGGGAAATGAGGAAAATAGCAAATCAGAGCAGTCCAGCGCAGCAGCCAGGCTACCGTGAAGTGACACAGGGAAAGAAATGTTACCATTGCTCTAGGTTTGGACACATAGCTCGAGAATGCCATTCCCGAGCAGTAAAAGTAAAGCATACTAGTAAAGAGGAATCTTCTAGTAGGGGAAAGGAAACCACGATCTCATAAATTATAAGGCAGGGCCGGAGCTTGGGGGTAAAGACACAAGAGGAAGGCACAAAGAGCGATCTTATTGGAGAACGGACAATGATCCCCTGAATCTTCTGGGGAAACAATTGGAAGCATTAGTGGATATGCGATATGCGAAATTTGCTTGGCATTTAGTCAAACCAGAATATTCAATGGGACGTCAATATTTACTAATGGCAGCTGTATTTATTCAACGGACTGCTGTATTTCTTTAGTACTACCTAGCCTACTTTTCCCGTCTGGCCTCAAATCTTGGGCCTTTACCATACCTTACAAAGGAGTGCAAAAGAAGGACTCACCCTCAAATGAATTTTTGTAAATTGCTGATGTATTCTCTAAATATTATTTCAATGTAAATAAACACTGTTTTATACTAATTGTTCAACATCGCGCCCACTCCTTTCATAGTTTTCACACCTGCAAGTAATAAAGCAGACTGTTAGAAATCTTATGGACTATGCAAACCCGGCGCACACCGTTCCCCAAATGGGTACGCCAGGCAGAACATTTCCCTTGCTCACTGGATAGAATGGCCCAATGTATGAAAGTGCACTCCACGCTTAGGCAGGGGAATGTAAATATGAAACAGCAGAAAGTAGCTGTTCAGAATGAAATAAAGCAAAGAGTCTTGAAAGCAGTCAATACAATCCCCTTTTCGGCAGGGGTAATATTGCAGAAGCAGGCCTGAGATATAATGAGCGGTTGCATGAGAAACCGCAAACGAGAGAGCATAGAGACGAGCGAGATAGCTGTTATCTACATACATACGTATCTGCAAATAGGCCATATTCCAGGGAAGACACAGGTGGTGGGAAGCATCACGCGAATGATAGTGGCCTGTCAGTGTGTTACAAAACCCCATTGTTTCAGAAGTTTGCCTAATGGAAAGAGCTTAGATTCCAGTGTACTTCGCCTTGAGTCCTTGGTGCACTCTTCTTTGGGTAGGCTTTTCCTTTCAAAAGGGTGGGCACCACATGAATATCTCACGGCCCCCATATTTCCGGAGGCTTCTGCTCATACCGGTTCAGAACCTTAAAGAACTGATTGATGACTGATCTCAGAAGGTAAGGAAACACAAAATGTTCCCACTGACAAGTGGCTTTGGCCCAGATCACTCAAAGGCAAGTGGCAGACAGATTTCCAAAATGTGTAGCGTTGTCATACCTTGCACGACATGTTTCAGCGCCCCTACACAGGCGCTGCGTGGCGCCACTTTTGAGGTAAGGTACTCACATAGCACCCTATCAAACTGTAACATACCGACCCGGACGCCCTCAAATGTCCGACCAAAGTTGATGCCCGAATCGTTTCATTCGCGAAGTACAATATGGAGTGAAGTACTATGTGAAGCGTGTTGACATGAAGCGGCTCGGACATATGAGTACAACATGCAACCGCATCTACCTTGCGGTTATTAGCACATTGTCAGCGGGAAACTCGTCCAAAATTGTTTCCTTAATTGGCGTAAAACAAAGGCTTTCTTTACAGGTTTTTGACTACTTCTTTTCGCTTTTTCGCATTTCCCTACTACACAGCACGCCTGTTGCCATTTTAAACCAAGCACCAAATTGTCGCTCTTTGTGTCTGTAATGCAACCATTCCAGTTAGCCTGCTGTAATCCTCTCAGGCAAATGCCATGCAAATAAGCCGGTCAGCACAGATGGGAGTCAAGCTGATCAGGGTTACTATCCACGTATTAGCCATTCGTGCCACTTGAAGGAAAAACGACTACGGTTCCGTGCAGGGGCTAACAGTGCCAATGAAAAATCTACGCGAACAAGACACTTAATTCGAGGACTCTAGTGAATGAAGAAGAAGAACTTGAGGGCTTCGAAACCATGAATGGTTAAGAAGCCTTCAAATTCTCACCACGACTCTGGTATCGTATAATATATCATTCATAATGCTTTATCTATAGGCCTCTTTTGGTTCGATCCCTGGGGTTATCATTATCAGGTTATCAACCCATGATCAGGGTACAGAACAAACCCTCTAGGCAAAGATGCTGACTTTTTTCTTGCTTTGAAACTTTTCTGGAATGTTGTTTCCATAACTTCACCACGAAAATTATTTGTTTCCATAACTTCACCACGAAAATTATATCTTACCGCAGACGTCATTTGGCGCCAGTCAAGACCAATATTCAGTGCCACAAACTTTTCCAACAAATACATGCGCAACAAAAATGTGGAGACCTCAAAATCTAGTTTTAAAATGTAACCAAAGCACTTTCTCAATCTGGAGCCTTACTCGTGGCCGGTAACCCCATAACTGGACACTCGAGCGATAGCTAAGTTTCCTTTTCGAAACATATTTCTGAATAGAATTTCCTTGTTTGTACCAAAAGTATTTGCACACCTGAGAAAGTCCAAAGTTTGGCTCAGATCTGCGATCCATTTTTATCGGCTCTATTCCCCATTAACACGTTTGCGGCGGTGTGTACTCCCGGGAGTACACGCGCCTATTTGCTGGTTTTTTGTATTTTATTTGCTTTTTCCACCAACTGTTGGATATAAATAATAATCAAACAATAGAGAAGTGATATCCATACATTAGAAGAGGCGTGTATACCTAAAAATACTCAAAAACTTTCTTTTTTGGGGAATCGTGCATTCTTGGGAGTACACGCGCCTTCCCCTCGCTTTTTGATGTTATTTTCTCCTAAAAATACTCAAAAACTTTCTTTTCTGGCGAATCGTGCATTCTTGGGAGTTGTTTTTTTTCTTTCACTTGCAATTATAAACAAATCATAAAATAAATAATATACAAGTAGCACTGTGAACATTTCTCTTGTACTCTTTGATACCAGGTGAGGCAGTAGTGGTCCTACAAGGAGAACTAAGAACTTCCGCAAGAATCGAAGTCTATATTCTCCTTGTGCGGTACTACTGAATATCAAAAAGGGCAAGAAGGCTAGTTCATTTACTGAAACTTAGATAAAACTTGTAGAAGGGGAAAATGCAAGAAGAATGGCGAAAAACGGTTTTCGTTAATTTTTAGGCGTTCATGGTACCGTCGCGAACGCGCAACCATGAACGGGATGACTGCCTGAGTGTCAATCGCCCCGAACGTGTCGTTCGACAAACGGGAGTTTTTGACGAAACGGTGCCGCCGCGAACGTGTTAACCTGTACTCATGCATCGTTGTGTTCGAACTCTCTCCGAAAAAGGACAAGCTCAGATTCGAGCTCTCAGTGCTGGTGGACACTCGAATAGAGACAATGCAAGACAGTTCGGACGTTCGGCGACTCACGTTGGTAAATACCTCCAGAATCTTGATGGCTACCATTCAGAACCTACATATCTCCGGCGCTCACAATCTTTGTCCGCAAATCAGCAGAATAGCGCGTACTGTCTCGAACTCCCCCCTTTCTGTGAGACAGATCCATGCTGCAATGAATTTACCGGTCTCAAAAAATGACGATATGGCGCTATATTCGATCAAATGAGCACATCACCAGAGAGATCATGATGAAAGCTTTTCGGTGGACTGCCCAACACCAGCTGGCGAGACTGACCTTTGCGCGTGCAAACATGGCGACGTTATGGGACAAGGGGCAATTTTTGAGAAATTTGTAAAATCAGAAAGACAGCTTTCTTATGCGCATTTCTTTCTTGAGTTATCTTCACTGATGAAACAAGTTCAATCTTGACGGTCCAGATGGATATCGGCACTACTGGAGAGACCTTCGTCGCGATCCGCTGGTGCTCTCGAGATGAAATTTCGGAGGCGGCTCTTTAAAAGTATGGGGTGGTTTTGGAAGCGGCGGAAAGCAGGAGCTTGCCTTTCCATCGTGCCATGAACACCATGAACAGTCAGCAGTACCAGGGAGTGAGGTTGCGTCGAACCTCTTGCCTTTTCTGACTGGGCCACGACGCAGGGCACATGTGCTGCAGTAGGACAAAGCCGCCGTGCAAGTTTCAAATTCTACTAGAGAATGGCTCCAGCGCCATGGTATCAAAGTGATGGATTAGCCGTCTGCAAACCTATCGACCTGGAGGGGATCATGGTTCGACGAATCTACATGAACAGATGGCTATACAAGAACGTGCGAGAAGGAGGCGGTAGTAGCTGCATGGGAGGAAATCGACGAAGATATCATCACAAATCTTGTCAACAGCCAGACAGTAATAGTGAACGCTGGAGAAAATGCCAACTTCTCATTTTCATGATGCTTTTATTTTTTGTTAGGTGTCCACATACTTTTGTTTATTAAGAAACTTTTTCAAAACAATCAAAAATACAAAGTGCTCAGAAGTAGTGTTTTCCTATGCTTGTGAGGAATTCATCAGTGGAGGCTCACATCGCACAATCCAACGGTGACTTCGCAGAACCAAAATTTGAGATGTCCACATACTTTTGTTACGCCCTGTACATTGTAAAGTTGCTTCCTGGGGCATGGAGGGTCCTGATCAGAAACATGAAATTCATTTTTGGCGCTGGCGCTATTTGGCTCCCGTAGGCGACAGAGCCAAATGGATGTCATCTTCGTGATCAGGGCACCGAATAACTCGGATGTTTGAAGTTTCAACCAAAAAATAGAAATTTTCGCAATCGTA